GCTGCGGGAACTCCTCCTTCCTAGGGACCCTCTAGTGTGCCACCTCCCGCGGCGGCAGAAACCCCTTCTCGGTGAAAGACTCCAGCACCGAATTCCTCACAGTGGACGACCGCCAGTCCGACATTTTCGCCCCGGATCGCAAAGGGATCAGTGAGTTCTCTTCTTCTCCCTCGCTCTCTCCTCCCTCCTTTCCTAGAAACCTTCGTAGCTCTCAAAGACGCTCTCGACGAGGAGGAAAAAGAAAGACAACAGTGGCAGACGATGAATAGGCAAAAGAACGGAGCGGACAACCTCTCTCTTCTCCTACTTAAAGGAAGGGGAGCAGCGGTTAGGAAAGGGCGTGCCGATCAGGAAGAGCAGGACGAAAATCTCTCTCTTTTCCATTAAATGCAGACAAGACATGCCTTGATCCGACGGGACGTGCCCAGCGTAGTGAAGCGGCTCCTGATCAGACGGGATGTGGCCTGGCCGTGGCCCACCACTACCGCACGATCAACCACTACCACACGACGGGCGCGAGAGACGAAGCACCACCGCACACGGGCGGCTTCCCACCTCCCCAGGCCAGACTTGGGGAGACCAAAAATGAAATCTCCATCGGAAGACTGACCGGCCCCCTGAGTCGATCGAGTCGCTCAGTATCCACACCAGGACACAAGTAGGAAGCTAAGGGACGCCCCATATGGGCCATGCCGACTCTGTCCCGAGCAACAAGCATGGGTCCCGGTCGGACATCTCCAACTGAAGCTCTCAGAGCTCTGTCACTCCAGCCGCCAAGGTAAACACTATCAAAACCCCCTCTGTTCCTTTAAAAACATTCATACATCCATACGCGCATTAATTCCATACGCCTGAACCCCCCGGACGGTTAGGGCATGAACCGTCCGAGGGCTCGGGAACTAAAGCATCGCACGTGCAGCGAAATGCATCAGAACGCTCCGTGTTGCGTCACGAAGCGGGGTTGCCTCATTGGATATGGGTGACCAACAGAGCCAGGGGAGAAAACCATAGATGAGCACCATGCGGCCCTTTCCTTGTCCAGCAGACTGGGTCATCTCAACCTTCTCGTTCGATCCTAAACCTCTCGCCAGGCCCACATAATCTCCATCGAAGGGGAGGCCATTAGGCCACCCGGGTCGGTCTCTGGAACGACCTAGGCATCTGTCGGGTTGCAGGTAAAGGAGTAGTGGAATGTCACAAGAGGGCTATGCCGACCCCGTCACGAACGACGGACCCGGATTCCACTCGATCACACTCATTAGCGAACTCACCGAGCTAGTCTTCGAGCATGAGCGATCGGGACAGGCAACGAAACTCAGCCCCTCCGGTCGTGAGGAACCGAGGATAGGGTAACGCACAATACTCACATCAACGCCCATGAAGGCCCGATAGGGCTCGGGGGCTCAAGAAAAACACCAAAGGATGGCGACCTCGAACTCGCCAGATCTACGACTCTGACTCGCTCGATCCCGCGGCGCGCACTGACGCCAGGGTCCGCGAGCATCGCCTCGTCCGATCTTTAACCAACTAACTACGTAACGGCTTTAGACGGCTTCACTGCGCTCCAAAGAACCTTGGGACCACGACCCCGAATTCGCGTCGATAGGATCTTTGACATCCGACTACGGCTCCGGGACCGTGACTCCTAAACTCACGTAACGACTTCACTCAGGATCCACGAGCTTCGGCTTGTCCGATTCCTGAACTAACTAAACTAACTCCCGCGATCCACGGCACGCGTTGACGTCTGGGTCCGTCCACGGTACTACCTCGCTCAATCCCACGGCGCGCACCGACGCCAAAGATCAGTAAGCTTTGACATGACCGAATCGAGCCATCACCGTCCGTGGCACGCACCGACGCCAGTGGTTTCTCCGAACTAACCTTCTCACCCGATCAACGGCACGCACCGACGCCGAGATCAGAAAGATTTGCCTCAAACCATGCACCTAAAAAACACCTCGGCTACACAACAAAACCTTGATTAAACAAAACGCCTCAAAACTAAACATACACACACGCCCGCTAAAGATAAACACCCCCAGCCGGTTCTACCCAAACCGCCCGGGGCTCGAAACTACACCCACAGTGCGCTCGCCACAAGCACCCGTCGACATTAACGTTAGAAAACCCCTAGCCGGTTCTTCTGAACCGCCCAGGCTTTCGGGAGCTACACACGTAGGCTTCAAGCACCCGGCAACAAGACAAAAATCCCCGACGATTAAGCTCAAATCACCCGGGGCTCTCTCTCTGTCGGGTTCATAAACCCTAGGGTCCCTCGGGGACCGGCTTGACGCCTTGCCGCTCGGCCTAGAGAAACAGTCTCATGTAGCTCATGGGCCGGCCCGAAAAGTCTAAAAACAACGGGTCGGGGGACAGGCGGTCGCCGTAATCGGAAGGTCCACCGAAAGAACGAACGCCCACTCAACAACTTCCTTGACCCACCTCTCCGACCGGAGCGCTCGCCTCGGACGCCGGCCGCCTCCGGGCGGACTCTCCGATCGGAAGGCTTGGCCCAAAACGCTGCTTCCTACTCCGACCCCGCATCTCCGTCCGGAGACTCATAGGAAGCTTGCTTGCAGCTTCTTCTCCGATCTGCACGGCCAAGATCTGACCGGAGCCATCCGACCAGGGTTCCCTTTCGGAAGGGACCGGGGCGAACGGAGAAAGCGAAGCACGAGTCAAAACACAGATCGGGGATCTATACGCTGGAAACGAGGCTCCACAACCGACCTGACACAAATAGCATGGGAGATACCGACATTTGTGACTACAGTATTGTAGGCGCCGACATTTATGTTTACAGTATTGTAGGCGCCGCTGGGGCTCCCATACGGCAAAAAGGCATCGATAGTGGGCACCAGGATTCATGATACCTGGTACACGTGGTAGGGGGTCCTCATATACTAACAACATTTCGCAGGTACCGACGTCCACCCTTCCTGAAGAAGCCAATGCAACCCCCCATGTGCACCTGACATTTTAACGAGCGACATCAACAGTGTTATGCGTGCCAACAATCATCACTACCCTCATTCGGCGTGGGCAACAAGACTTAGAAACACCCGTACTCTCTCCCTCTCACCTGTAAAGCCACCCCCTTTACCTATAAAGGAGATGCGCTCCCTCCAACAAAGGGGATCGATTTCCCAGAGGTCCACTTCTTCAAGCTCAGGCTCACTAGATCGATAGCTCAGAAACCCCTCAAGCACACGCTTGAACACCTAGCTCATAACGGAGTTCCGGTTGCCCTCGGCCCTTCCGGTCGGACCCGACCGGGCCACTCGTACACCCCTCCTTTCTCGTTCTCGTTTGTAACCCCACTACAGACTTCGAGCACCTGGGTTCAGGAATAAAGTCACCAACAGACCCACACTGGACGTAGGGCACGTTGTCTGAACCAGTCTAAATCCTATGCCATTGAGTGTTAGGCCACCCCGATCACAACGTACCGCAAAACTATAAATATTGACTTTCTGTACCGACACATGGTGTGCTATTTGCCGATCGATGCAGGTAGCACGTGATTTCTCAAGTGCACATTGGTTCTGGTTTGCGAAATTATGGAAGCTGGTGTAATAAACATCTTGTCTTTTCTGTCGTGTTGATGTTTCGTCTATGAAGACTCAATTTTTGAAATACTCTAGACAAGTTTTTTTTTCTTTGGGCGTTTGCCTATGGGGATTCAGTCACTCAGGAGTCAGGACACATTTGTTTCTTCTTTTGCTTGGCACTGTTTCGCTTTGGCAAGCGAGTGTGATTGTATATTCTTTTGAGCTCCTTCAGTTTGTCCGGCTGAGTTTTTTTTGCTGTCCGGCTGAGATTTGGTTTCTCCCACGAGAGCGCCAAATTGGCTTGATGGCCTAGGCAAGCTTATGGTTTTCCGCGCTAGCAAGGTGAGGTAAACAAAGAACCAATAGGCTGTTTGGTTTGCCGGATGTAGTCGTCCAGATCAAGTTGACTCCGGATGAGGTGGCCCCTCGGTTTCGCTACGGACGAGTTGTTCCGAGGATTAAGACCCGTTTGGTTGGTGACTAAAATTTATCATGTCTAACTTTTGGTGAACTATAACTGTTAAAGAAAGTGTGGCAACTAAAATCGAAGCCACACTTATGGCAAGGTTTGGCATGAAAATGAGCCCATAACATGTGGGGCAGGATGCTAAAAAGGTGTGGCGTGCCATATGTGTGACACTGAATCAAACAACTGTCGAAGAAACTGTGGCACGACGAACCTTTGGCGTGACGGGTTTTGGTCACCAACCAAATAGGCCTACGATCGTAACTGCTTGGTGCCGGTCGACGCTATTCCGTCCCTCAATCCAAACGAGTCCATAGGTCGGATGTAGGTTCGGATGGCTACGGAATGGGTCGGTGATGCAATCCAAACACGCTACAAATGTGCCTAATTGTCTTGGATGGAGCTTGCTCTTCTTTTCGCAATATAAACGTCTTTTACAGAACACAAACAAACCTGTATACCTGTAGTTTTGTACTGTATTGTATTTTTTTTAAGAATGAGTGAATTACACAGTAGTCGATATAACGCAGACTCCCACCGCACGCAGTAAAAAGACCTTGGTATCATGAACTCTTCTCTTAGCTGGAAGAGGTACGCCGCTACGAAAACATTAGGGCCGTCGGATGAAACGATGGGCCGCCTGGATCTGAAACCACCAAATACAGCTCGTGTCTACTGCCAACGTGGACGAGTGGACCCGAGTCCACCTCTGACCTCCGCCACCTCCTCCTCCTCCTCCTCTCTCTCTCTCTCTCGCTCGCTCGCTCGATGGTCGTCTTCTCCACGACACCTCAACCCCAATCGGAACCCGGACCCAGATCTCCGAAAAATCCCCAATCCCAATCTGCCCTCCGCCGTTGCGATCATACCTCCCAATCCGGGCCCAAGTCTGCTCGATGCGAATAGCAGCGGCGATTTAGCGAACCGCGCGTTCGCTAGGGTTAGGGTTTCGAGGGTTTGCGCTAGGGTTTGGGCGCACGATGGGGCGGTCGCGAGGGGTGCCGAATTCCGGCGACGACGACACCGGACACAGGTTCGCGCATGTTCCCCCCTCCCCGCTCTGCCATTTCGTTCTGCTACCCCGCACGCTCGGAGCGGTGAGCTGACGGCGCTGGTTGCTGGTTGCAGGTCGAAGCGGAGGAGGGTCTCCTCGGGCGGGGATGCGCCCGACTCCATTTCAGCCGCCATCGGGGGAGCTGGAGAGGGAGGGGGCAAGAAGGCGCTGTACCACTGCAACTACTGCAACAAGGACATCTCCGGTAAGATACGGATCAAGTGCTCCAAGTGCCCTGACTTCGACCTCTGCGTGGAGTGCTTCTCTGTTGGCGCTGAAGTTACCCCACACCGCAGCAACCATCCTTACAGAGTCATGGTTAGTGCACTAGATAATTGTTGTCTTTGCTTGACTTGATGTTTTCAGTAGCACTCCACTATTTTCCAGTTGTTGTATTATTGTTTGGTCTCCTAGGGTCCCGAGTCAGTTGTAATTCATAACCGCTTAGTTATGAGGGCACACACTAGCTGCATCTGTAGTGGTTGATTGCTTATTGGAACATTTTGAGCTGGTGAACTTAGTGCTGAGACCATTTAAAATCAAAAGTTAGTCTGATCCCTATAAGTTAAAATGAAATAAAACAGAGAAAATGTAGCACCCAAGGATTAATTTCTTAATAATCTACACAAATACTTAGCCTTTTGTCCATGCTCTGCTAAAGTGCACTGGTGCTTATTATTCCTTAACCCAAGTAAACTCAGCTTTCTAACATTGCTTACCGAAAGTGTCTTATTCTTTGATCATTGCTTAGCCAAAGTACATTAATACTTGAATGACATTTTGCAACAGGACAACCTGTCTTTCCCACTTATTTGCCCGGATTGGAATGCTGATGAAGAAATTCTCCTCCTTGAGGTAACATTGTGTTTGTTTGGTATATTTACTTCCTGGGCATTGTGTTTAATTGTTTACCTGTCATGATCTAAGGGAATTGAAATGTATGGTCTGGGAAACTGGCTTGAAGTGGCAGAGCATGTTGGTACCAAGTCTAAGTTACAGTGTATTGATCATTACACTACAGCATACATGAACTCACCTTGTTATCCCCTCCCGGTAACTATTTTCTGTACCTGTTTATAAATGCAATAAATGAGTTGGCACTTCTTAATTCAATACTACCTCATGGTTGTAGGATATGTCTCATGTTAATGGCAAGAACAGGAAGGAGCTTCTAGCTATGGCTAAAGTGCAGGGTGAGAGTAAAAAAGGTGAGTCATGAGTGTTTGGTTTTTAGGTGATGGAAACAGTTGATACATTTTGTTGATCATTTGAAGACTTGGGAGATTTTGCTTACTGTCCAGTTCTTGGTTTTTGTTCATGCATGCTAACGTATTTTAGTATGTGTTAGTGGTCATAGGTCATGTGATTCAGGCCCTGTTTGGATACTCCCAGCTAATAGTTAGCGGCATTAGGTGGGTAGAGACAACCAAAAGCTTTTTATTAGCTGGGTGGTTGGATAGTTCAATCTGCACTATTAGCTAGGTTGTTTGGATCAGCTAGAGCTTTTTTTAGCAGATTTCTATTAGCTCTAGCTGATCCAAACAGGTCTATGTGTTTTAGGTAGAATTGTATGTAGATATTTGGCCTTTGGTGTCAATTTGACATGTGTCTGGTCATTTACTGTCTGAAATCTTCACATCTTCAAATTTTGAGTCTGTGTATGCCATTGTGGTGGCTTTGCAAAAGCACTTGACTTCTACTTTGGATTTTTTTTTTTGGGGGGGGGATTGGATGGTGCCAGAATGGAATTTGTGAAGATCTCATAACTAACTAGATTCTTTAGTGTATTTGGTCTTATCCTCATAGTCATATAGAGTGTTTGTTAGTGGAGTATCTATCCAACTAGTGGCAGCATGTTACTTTCGAGTGGATGTATTTTTTATGGAGAAAAAACATCTTGCGTTGATCTCATATCCACAAACAATCCTTATTCTTTGGGTTTGGGTTTAATGGGAACAATAGCATGCACAGATATCAGTGTGCTCCTTACTCGCAGCCCCTTCAACTGTAGCTGCAGCATCATTGTCTGTATGGACAAGCATAAAACTTGATTAAACTAGAAGGAACTAGGTTTCATTGTAAATAAGAAGAATTTTTTTATAGAAAGGACGGCAAAAGCTTTGCCGCGATTTCTATTAGATGAAGAAAGAAAAAAGGCAAGTGCCAGCCCAGTTTTTTGAATGGAAACTGAGCCAGAAAAACCATACAACTGAGGAGAGTGCCCTACTCATCCCGTACAACTTTGGAACAACTATCACAACTCACACCACCACTTGCAGCTTGGTCGAAATCTACCCAACTAACAACTTGGCCGAAGAAGGAAAAAACCCAACTAAGACAACTTGGAGGACCGAGCACCATCACCCCTGGGAGCATCGAGCACCATCACCGTATGGGAAGTGCCATGACAGACAGCAAGAGGTCCACAGCGGAAGCTGGATCGCCTAGCAAAGCCTTCAAGAAGGAAACGACGCCAATTGCGTCGACAAGCTAGCCCGACGAGGGAAAGTTTTCACCAGCAAAATCCAGCACGGTAGGAGGAGAGGTAGTAAAAGACGCCTCCAAGGAGGGCACGACGTCCGCAGCGCCGTTGTCCAAGCTTTCGCCCGACCGATGCCTCCTCTCACCTGTCCCCACGAGTCCCACAGAGGTAGCCGGACCTAGGAACCAGCTCAAGCGGGGCGGGTGGGCGGGAGAAGAGGGCGGATCGAGAAGCGCCGGTTGCTGCCCAAACCCCACCACCGTCCAATTCGACCCTTGCCAAGCAATCCCAAAGATCAAACCCGCCACGCGCGCCTCTAGCAGCCCCTCAATGCGGTATTCGAACTTCCACCATCAAGACGCCGATTATCCAGAGGAGCGCCACCCCGACCAAGAAGGCCAAGCCGACCGCCACCGCTTGGCTGTTAGATCTGTTCCATTATTTATCTAAATACCCATGCATATGCCCCTAAGATTGAAAGCCCAAAAGGCACTTGGAGAAGGTCCAGCAGGTCGATCACCTTCCTAGATGAAAACAAAGGCGGTCGCCTAATTCTTGTTGACTTGCTGCAGTGCAAATAAAAAGCTTCAAATGCGCTAATGTGGAGGCGCCGGTAGATTGATGAAAGCACCACAAGTTTTTATATCATTATATGTTCACTCAAAGACTGCCTTATTTTTTTAACTTATTAAGAGATATGCTTTATCAAGAATGTCACAAGACGCCTATGAGGGGGCAGAGAAATGAAATGGTGAGTCTCTCATTATGGCATGGTATGATCTTTGGATCTGCACCCTCATATGTGTGGTCTTTGTGAAACAGACGACCGGAGAGCCAGCCTAGTCCCCAACAAGAAATGCTTGGGCGGAACGGCTAGCTGGTATAAATATGTAACCCTAACCCTCGGCGTTGGCATGGCACACGCCGAGGAGTCCTGTGGGAGAGCGGATCCGGCGGGGAGAGCTGATCCCAAGTGAGGGAGGATTTGCCCCTGGCTGGAGAAAGCAGCCGCCAAGGCCCTCGTGAAGAAACGCGCCGGAAACCAGCACCAACCGAAGAGCACGCCGAGAGCCTCGCGGGAGAGAGGAAGGAGAAGCCCAGCCGCCATCGCCCTGCCCGCCTCCGCTTGAGCCTCGGCCGAGTTGCGAGCTCAGGCGGCGAGCCAGCCGAGACAGGCAGGAAGCGCGGCACGGGAGGGGCCGCGGCGAGGAGGGTCGAGGGGGGGCCAGATCGGCAGCCCATTTCGCCCCTAGGGGAGAGCGCTAGCAGGCGGGGGCGGCCGCTGGCGACTATCACTTTGTGTTCTAAATAAGAAGAAATAGGCACCCAATTCGAGTTGGTTGTGGTCTACAACTCTACATCCACATTGCGCAGAGATGAACACGAGGATCTGCGCAGACGCATGACCTTGTAGTCAGATAAAAAAATTCATACTGCTGCTATAAGTTTTTTTTTTGTCAGTAGCTTGGTTATGACTCCAATTGTGGGAATGCGGTACTTTCTAGTTTCTACTGCTGCCCTGTACTATTCAGTTACTATCAGCCTGTTTACTTGGTCGTATTTGGCTTATAAGCCATGGCTTATCAGCCAACGAATAGTATTTTTTTCTCACACCAAACCAGCCAACGGTACTTTCAGCCATGGCTTATAAGCCAAATCAGCCCAAACGAACAGGGCTTATATTGGGTTCTGATATCTCATCTTTCTTCTTTGTTCTTACATATAGGGACTTCGCTGTTACCTGGAGAACTGACTCCTAAGGCTGAATCTCCATTTTCTCCCTCCAGGGTCAAGTATGCCATTATTTATCTAAATACCTATGCATATGCCCCTAAGATTGAAAGAGGCTTTTTACCAGCTACTTATCTTGTATAGGGTGGAAGATGCACTTGGAGAAGGTCCAGCAGGTCGATCACCTTCACACATAGCTGTTGGTATGTATTGGGAATGAAATAATTAGCTAGACCAACCCAATTCTGAAACAGTGCATCTTTGGTCTATGTCAAGAGATGCTGTCATGTATTCATATTGTCCTAATTCTTGTTGACTTGCTGCAGGTGCAAATAAAAAAGCTTCAAATGTGGGACAGATTAAAGATGGTGCTAATGTATCAAAAGTCGAAGGTATAATCATTGATGAAAGCATCACTGTTATTTTCAAGTTTTTATATCATTATATGTTCACTCAGCAACCAGGCTCTGGCAAATTCTTAGAATGTTTTCTTATTTTTTTTAACTTATTAAGAGATATGCTTTATCAAGAATGTCACATTCTTAAGAATGGAATGCTAAAAAGTATTGGTAGTGCTATGTCTTTTTCTGTAATTAGAGTTCTTTCTATTGGAAATGCATAAGAAATGAAATGGTGAGTCTCTCATTATGGCATGGTATGAAATGGAGCAATATGGGTCTGATTGGTTACTCGCATAAGAGTTGCACTGCATTAAGGGTTATGCAGCATAGTCTACACTTGCATCGGTGAATGCAATCTAGTGTTGTTTGGTTGGGCTGCACTACCCTGATGTATTAGTTGTGCCTCTGTTTGGTTGTGTTGTATTATTATGCTGCATTGCCTGTGCATCTTTTTGGTTGTTTTACAGATGAAACACAAAATTGGCAATGGCATTTCGCCGAACACCCTCAGCTCGTGGTTCGAGTCCGGCATCTCGAGCTCTTCTCTCTCCCTCAAGCTAGTGCTCTGCCACGACAAGGAAAGCTGAGCATGTTCCATCTTCCATGGCGGCATCGCCCTGCTCGATAGCCAAACGCCAAGCCACCTGAATTCGTGTTGCTAGCATCTTGCCATGTTGCGGCCTTACGGGCAGCCGTCCGGCTCGTCGCCGCCGCGTCTGCGTTCTTGTGCGCACGCGGGCTCACGCACGGAGTCACGGATGCGGGAACCCACCCATGGTTACCAGGCGGGACATCCATGGCGACGCCACGAGGGGGTGGGCTCAGGAGGGAGAGGAGAGGGGCACTGCAGATCAGCCAACAAGGACAGCGAGCTCGCGACAGAGGAGCTGAGGTGTGTGGCTGAGGAGTTGAAACCCTAGCCACCGATGGGGAGGGAGTGTGGGCGGCAGGGGAGAGAGCCGTGTGGGGGGTATTCCTATCGGGACCGCGTGCAAGGTGCGGGTGCGGGAGCAGTGCCCCTGCAGAGCAGGTGCAGATTGAATGCAGAGCGCGTGCAAGGCCCCTGCAGAGCGGGTGTGTCCCAATTCTGCAGAGTGGATACGCCCGAAGTTGGGTGAATAACGGGATGCAGCTGAGCACTGCTTTGAGGATAGTGCTACGCTGCATTATGGGTTGTGCAGGCAACCAATCAAGTCCATTTTACATTATGAGAGCCTGGAGAAGGGGTTGTGCAGGCAACCAATCAGACCCTATGTATATTCCTTTTGTTTACTTTAAAGTCACATTACTGCATAAATCAAATGATGAACCTTGGCACATTTAATTTGCATGTGCCAGATGGTCATGTCGATAGAAGTGTTGGTGTGAAGAAGCCCAGATATTCTGCAGATGAAGGCCCTTCGTTGACTGAACTGAGTGGATACAATGCAAAGAGACACGAGTTTGACCCTGAGTATGACAATGATGCCGAACAAGCGCTTGCTGAGATGGAATTTAAAGAAACTGATTCGGAAACCGATCGTGAACTGAAACTCCGTGTGCTGCGTATTTATCTGTCCAGGTTCGTTAGGAGTGAAGCATTTTTTTTTGTTCATAGCAATTTTTAGTGGATAGATCCTACTCTTCTATCCTATGTTCTTTTCTGTTAATATGAATTTTATGTTAACAATGCTTTAGTTCCGAGTTAAAGTGTAAGTAAGCATGTTTATATGTTGATTTCGTTTATTAGTATAATAAATAATGTTTAATAGTGCAAAACAACTGTTTTCTTTGTAGGCTTGATGAAAGAAAAAGGAGAAAGGAGTTCATATTGGAAAGAAATTTATTGTTCCCTAATCCCTTGGAGAAAGATCTGACAAATGAAGACAGGGAAGTTTACCATCGCTATAAGGTCTTCATGCGTTTTCTTTCCAGGGAGGAACATGAAGCCCTCATTAGGAGTGTCATTGAGGAGCGAAAAATTCGGAGGAGAATTCAAGAACTCCAGGTATTATGTTTGTTCATTTGCTCTTACTAAATCAACTATATTAATGCATTCTTCTTACTAGCAAACATATCCGTGCGTTGCAATGTAACATTCAGCTTGTTACGTAGTTACCTGGACATTTTGTGGCTCGGAGAGTTATTCACCGATCATGTCATGTATTTTAATTTGTCTGAGAATCAAACTCCATACCTTGCCTTCCGTATATCGCCTGGACGTTTGCTGCCCTAACTCTATGGTTATGGGAGGTTAGAAATTTATCAATGATCACGTTATGCATTTGAATTTGCTTTGAGATTGGACTTGCTCTAACTTGTACGGTCACGGGAGAGAGTGACGGACTATGGAAACACTTTGTATTCCAATTCATTTCAGAATCGGACTCTACACTGTGCTTGGATACGCTACTCTTAACTCGTACGGATAGGGAGAAAATTAGGTCCGTTAGATCTCCATCGGACGATTGTGAGCAACAAAGGGCAAAGGAATCTTCCGCTCTTTAATATTATCAGGGAATTGATTATAGAATGATTACATCTGTGGAGTTCTTTGTTTAAAATCTGCTAGTACTATTCATTCCATGGATCAACACTTTTATATGTCTTTGTTCTACATGAAGCTGAGAAAGTGATTGTAGATAAAACTTACAAGGAACAAATATATTACATATAACTGAACTTGTGGCTGAGAACTAATCCTTTACAAATTCATTGTCGTCTTCATTTTCGTTCTTATATAGGTGGTTGGTTACCTGTGGCAAAAACGTGCAGTGAACCGAACACTGCCTCAAGCAAGAGAATATTAAAGTAGCAGTGCAGTTCATTTTCTATTAGAAAAAGGAACAATACAAATATTAAATTTAAACTTTTTGAACCATTTGTTATTCTTGTAGATTGGTGGAGAATGATAGATTTGCACATGCTGCAACATTCAGACTCTTAATTTCATTTGTCCATCTCTTGTATTCCCAGTTGCTCCTCCACCCTGTTAACCCACCCAGCCATTGGCCCAACCAATTATCTGTTTGCTTTTTATTCTTATATATACTCCCTCTGTCCCACAAAGAGTGTCATTCTCACTTCCCGAGAAGTCAAACATTTTTTAACTTTGATCAGTTATATATATTAAAAAATATTAATATTTATAATGCATAATTATTATCATTATTCATTAGATGAATTGTGGAATATATTTTCTTAATAAATTCATTTAGTGATACAAATGCTAATATTTTCAATAAATCTAGTCAAACTTGAGAATGTTCGACCAGCACGCATCCCATAGCGTCGTTCTTTTTGGGACGGAGAGAGTATATGACCTATATATCCTTCATTTTCACATGGTCTTTGGATAGAAACCTGATGGCATTTTAGAGTCGTTGACATTAATTGTGAGATATCTCGTCTTGGATGTTCCGCTTGAGTACTTGTATAGTACAGTCTTGCATACATTTTCTTTGGTACTAGGCTGCGCATATGAAGGAAATGAACTGGCCTGTGTCTCTTCTCATAAGGTCCTGGTGGGCAAATAGAAATGCCATTATTTACTTATATTTTGTTGAATCTCAGGAATGTCGTGCTGCTGGGTGCCGCACACTGGCTGAAGCAAAGGTACACATAGAGCAAAAGATGAAAAAGGAATACGAGCTGAATGCCCGAAAAGCTAAGGAGAGCAGCCAGCTTATTGCAAATAATAAATCGGTACAAAAGTTGAATCGACCTATGAAAATTGAATCTGATGGGAATTTGGATCCAAAGAAAGGTGGCGCTGGCTTAGATTCTCCTAAAACTACAGGACTTACAAGTGGTAAGCAGTGGGACGACTGGGATATAGTTGGTCTTCCTGGGGCAGAGCTATTAAGTGCTAGTGTAAGTGCATTTCAAATCCCAGTACCTGTTTGGTGATTGGTGATCTCATTTGGGCATATTAGTATTATGTCCTTGTTCCTACCTTTTGTGTTTGTTACAGTAAGGCATGATCCATCCTTTTTTGTACTTTCAGGAAAAGCTTCTATGTTGTCAGAACAGATTGCTACCCAGTCATTACCTGAGAATGCAGGAGGTGTTGATGCAGGAGATATTCAAGGGTAGTGTCCTAAAGAAGGAAGACGCCCATGTCTTATTTAAGGTTGATCCTACCAAAGTAGATAGTGTTTATGATATGGTAACGAAAAAGCTGGGCAACCATGAGGAGGCTCCAACTGTCTAGCTTATGCTTTTGAGCTTGCTTGCTGTGACATGCCGAAGAAAACAAATCTTGGTTTCGCCTTTGCGCCTTTGCAGCGCGCCAGAACCATAGCTGAAGGTGGAACTGTAGTAAATCGAATCTGCCATAGTTAACAGAAATTCGTATCAGTTGTCAGAAGCACAATAAGGCATTCCAGCCAAGTTGTAAAATTATTGCCCCGACGAGAATGTGTAGCATGAGTTTTTCATTTCTGTTCTGCCATTGTTGTGTACTGTTGCAGTTGTGGTAGTGCCTCCTTGTAGTAGGTTTAGGTGCCTGAGTTTATATGTATCATCGTGTATGTACCATTGGCCGCTCTATTTTATGCCATTGTACCAACCCCAGACATTGATTTTATTACAATTCATCTTGCAGCCAAACTCTTGTATCTAATGGAAAGCTTGGCCTTCGTCTTTGTTTTCGTCTCTAATGGAATACTTTGCCTTCATCTTTGCTTTCTGTTTGTTGGTTTTGGTTGAAGAGCACAACCCTGCTCTTGGGGTGTTGATGAGGACATGCTACCGGTTACTAAAGTTACACATAAGCAAGTGTGCGAAGGGTCAATTACGCACAGATGCAAAACTACTAAAAAAACACTCCTAGCTGAAATTAACTTCAATATACATGAGAATATTATACTACCTAATTGTTCTACTTTTGTTGTACTTAGATATACACATAAAGATGAGAACGCTTTTCTACGTGGGTACGAACTACAGCAATCGGACCAACAAGCCATCAAGACTGACCTTATAGTTCGGACTATCAAAAGAAGCAGCTATAACTCCTTAATCCTGCAACCTTTGGAGGTGAATAAGTACTTGTTGAAAAGCTTATCAAGTCCACTTTCCAACCTAACAAATGGCTCGTCATTTGGACTTCCAAGTAGAGAGTAATGACCATTTTACTGAAGGCTGCGCATAAGTCCAGGAGACGCGTGAGAATTGAAGACCACCTCGTGAATGCTTCAACCAGTTGGCCTTCCACCTTTCAACGTGTGACTTCAGTTCATACCAACTAAGAGGGTTGTTACTAGTATAAAGAAAAAGGACTTTTGATCATTTGAGAACCCGATACGGTATTGCATCCGAGCTGCTGAGTGTCTTACACACCTTTGTTCTTGCGAGGAGTTCTTGGGCTTGTGAGAGATCTCTCTGAGGTCCCCTACTTCATGTTCTACGGTTTCTAGTTAGACTACACCGTTTTGTGTGGATACGGTTTATGATTCTGCGATCATTCAGAGATCAAGTCGAAGTTTTGGTGTCTGTCCCAAATCTTTGTTCTTAAACCTACTGTTGTGAAGATCGGACCATCTCCTCGCTGATTCATGTCAGGATGTATTAGGTGTACTCCCCATGTCTCAAAAAAATATCATCATAAGGTTTATGTACTCCCTCCGTCTCGAAAAGAATATCATCTCGAGGTCCTGACAGCTGGGATTCAATATCGTCATGAGGTCGGTGTACTCCCTTTGCCTCATAATATCGTCACGAGGTCCTGAGAGCCAGGATTCTTGCTGCTTATTTTTTTAAAGTTTATGAAATAATTTTAAATAATTTTATTATAAAAATATATTATAATTTTATAATGATATAATTATATATTATAAATAATAATAATATATATATTTGCTTAAAGTTGAAAATATCTGTTTCTGAGAATTGCGCTATTCGGCTTATGGTTTCGGCGACTGATAAGCTGGCTGAAGCTTTTGTTGTGAGAGAAAACACTATGGGTTTGTTAAAATTTGGTACATAAGCCGGCTGGTTTCGGCTGATTCAATAGTGTTATGTGAGGAAGAATAAGCTCGAAATAAACTGATCTGGAATAAATGGCTGGTAAGTTCAAGTGAACAGGATAAATGAGTATTTATCACTTGTTGTGACTTAGCAGCTAACAGAGAGGGACACATGTCCTCATGAAACTTTTTATTAGCTTGATGTCAATCCTAGTACTGTTCTCTAACACTGTTCCATTCGGGTGTACTACCGAGCTTGTGTCTCCTTATAAAAAAGAAAAGTATATTTTAAATTTTTAATCTAAAGAAAAGTTTAAAGGCCCTTTAGAATGCAAGGTTTTTATAAGAATTATATAAGGATTTCGTCAAAAAAATGCAGAACAGAAAATAAAATTCCGTCTTTAGAGGGACCAAATTGTTTAAACCAACTACGTGGTTTTTTTTAAAACCTACACTATCGGTTCCAAAATAAACATATATTATGACCTATTTATTTAAACCAACTACGTGGCTTTTTGAAAATTACTTATATCTTTCGATTCTAGAAGAACATATTGTAGTCTTGCACATGCTTGGACGTTGTATTCTTGGGCCACGTTTAGTTCCTCCAATTCCTGAATTTGACACTATGCAAAAAGAAGATTCTCCGTCACATTAAACTTGTGGTACATGCATGGAGTATTAAATATTGACGAAATTAAAAACTAATTGCACAGTTTGGTTGTACTTTGCGAGACAAACGTTTTGAGCATAATTAGTCAACGATTGAACAATTATTATCGAATAAAAACAAAACGGTACTGTAGCTACAGTACCACCGGAAATTCGGCGGCGCCGATTCGGTGGCCGAACTGAACATGGCCTTGTTAGTTGGTAGCACGTCCACCTCGCACGAATTGAAGGAGGCCTGACCGGCGACACGATATGCTGATGCAGGGGCGGAAGCGGAAGCATGTGAAGGATCCATGGGGTAGTTGACATGTGCGGAGCGCACACGGGGCAGCGAGCGACCTTGTTGGCCGTGCGCAGCGCGCCCAATTTCTGCCGCGAAATGTACAAAGCTATACAGCACGGGTATCGATATCAAGAGGATACGGATACTCGGATATAAGGAGCCCCCGGTTGGTTGGCTTCCAATTCCGATCGGTTGACTTTCAATTTTTTAACTAAAATCATGTAAGCCAAAAAATTTAGTCATTACTTGTTTATTGCTAAATAATTGGTATATCAATACTTGGTCAAAGTTTTGACAAGTTTCTAAAAACTTCTTTGCATGAAAAAAATGCTTTCTACCAATGTTATGTCACTCAACCAATTGTATCCTATATTTTTTTACTTAACTTTGGTAGATCTTGATTTTGACAAGCCTAAACTTTGGTTTAACATGATTTTGACTAAGTAGTGATCCCTTCCTCACTGAGCGCGTCGTGCCATTCCCAGCGGAGAAACCCAAGCGAAGCCCCGCGAGAGCGAGGAGAGGGAAAGGGGGGCGAGGTAGCGGACTAGCGGGATGGCGTCGCCTGGGGTGGTGGCCGCTGCGCTGCTGGTGGCGGCGCTGGCGGCGTTCTGCGGCACGGACCCGCTGCGGACGGGCAGCATGGTGGACTTCCCGGGGTTCGAGGCGCACTTCGTCGAACTCCCCGATCCCGCCGAGATGCCGCCGCACGCGGACGAACGGGAGCGGCTCCGCGAGGCCGAGGTGCGGTTCCGCGGCGAGGTGCAGGGGCCCGAGAGCGTCGCCTTCGACCCGCAGGGCCGCGGGCCGTACACGGGCGTCGCCGACGGCCGGGTCGTCTTCTGGGACGGCGAGCGGTGGGTCCCCTTCGCGACGGCCTCCCCGCGCTGGACGCAGGAGCTCTGCGGCGGGCCCAAGGCCTCGCCGCTGGAGTACCTCCCCAACGAGCACATCTGCGGCAGACCGCTCGGGCTCCGCTTCGATAAGAAGACCGGGGACCTGTACATCGCCGACGCCTACTTTGGCCTGCTCAAGGTCGGCCCCGAGGGCGGGCTGGCCACGCCGCTCGCAACGGAGGCCGAGGGCGTGCGCCTCAACTTCACCAACGACCTCGACCTCGACGACGAGGGCAACGTCTACTTCACCGACTCCAGCATCCACTACCAGAGACGGTCTGTGATGCCATGCCCTCGCTCTCTCCCCTCTGCTTTGCTTGGTTGGTTGGATACTCACTTGATTCCTAGTACTGACTATGGGGCTGGTGATCGGTGTTAGGAACAGTGCCTCTAAAACGCAGATCAGGTAAACCTCTTACTTACATGGAGAAACTCATTCCTCTATTTCGCCCTGGCACGCAGTTGCGCCGCAGCTGCATTGACGCCGGTGTCGTGGGAGCTCGGCGCGGTGGAGTCCAGCGTAGTGGTGGCGATGCAGAGACGACGTTGACGCGAGGTGACGCTGTCCGGTGGTGATGACGAAGTCAGTGGGTCTTCCCGTTACTGGCAGCACTCTCTTCAGATCGGATTAGGTTTAGCTGTTGATGGGTCACGGCGGCTCCGGTCAACCTCGTAGTTAGAGCCATGATCCCCACCTCTCTTTATAGTGCTGTGCGACAGGGGCCCACCAACCATGTTAGAATTAGGCGCCCCCGATCGGGCGCAGATCTAAGGGGTCTATTGGTGGAGATCAACTAACATTCTCCCCCTTTATCTCACTACCATCTTTAATTTCATATCATTTACTTTTGTTCATTCCATTACAGATTAACGCATAGAGTATGTTTCATCGTCACGGTCAATTGCCGATAAATTTAACATCTACAACACACCACTGTCCAAATAGATACTTAACTTTGGACCTTCTTTTGTCCAGGAATTTTAAGCTTTCCCTTAAACCTATGCTAGCAACATGTTCTCTGAACACGTTGGGTGGTAAGCCTTTTGTAAGCGGATCCGCGAGCATCTTTTCGGTACTTATATGCTCAAGACGTATGACATGATCCCGGACTTTATCTTTCACAGCATACTACTTTATGTCATTGTGTTTGGCAGCACCACTTGACTTATTTTTATGAGCATACTGTACTGTCGGATTATTATCGTAGTATAATTTAAGTAGTCTATAGATGTCGTCAACCACCTTCAAACCGGTATGAACTTCTTTAGCCAGTTCACCTGCCCCGTTGCCTCATAACACGCTACAAACTCGGCATACATTATGAACGATGTAGTGACGGTTTGCTTTGAGCTTTTCCATGAAATAGCTCCTCCCGTGAGAGTGAATACATATCTAGACGTGGATCTTTCATCATCTCCCGTATAATCAGAATCAGAATATCCCACTATATGGAGTGAATCTGATCTTCTATACGTCATCATGAGGCTTTTCATTCCTTCCAAATAACGCAAGACTTTCTTTACCATTTTCCAGTGTTCTGTTCTAGGATTGCTCTGAAATCTGCCAAGTAACCCAGTAACAAATGCAAGTCAAGGCACGTACATACTTCCGAGCATATTGTAAGCTTCCGACAGCTGAAGCTTATGGAACCATTTTCATTTGATCGATCTCATACTGGTTCCTAGGGCTTTGAAAATCCACATATCTGTCGCCCTTGACTATAGGAGCAGGTGAGGGACTACATCTGTGCATACTGAATTTTTTTAAGATCTTTTCTATGTATGTCTTTTGTGACAGTCTTAATACCCCTTTACTTCTATCTCGGTGAATCTCGATCCCTAGAATGAACGAAGCTTCACCAAGATCTTTAATATCAAATTTTGAGGATAATTTTTTTTTTGTCTCCAGTAGTAGACTGACATCACTACTAGCAAGTAAGATATCATCCACAAACAGGACGAGAAAGACAAACTTCCCATTCTTAAACTTTGCATAGACACAATTGTCCTCTACATTCTCTTTAAACCCAAAATTCCTTATTGTCTTATCAAACTTCAAATATCACTCGTCTTGAAGCTTGTTTTAATTCATAAATGGATTTCTTTAGGCGACATCATATTCGTTCTTTTCCTTCCACGATAAAACATTTCGATTGTGCCATGTAAATATTTTCCTCTAAGTCCTCGTTGAGAAATGCCGTCTTTACATCCATCTGATGTAATTCTAAATCGTAATGTGCCACTAATGCCATTATGATTCTGAAGGAATCCTTACACGAGACTGTAGAAAAGATCTCATTATAATCAATGTCTTCTTTTTATGTAAAGCCTTTTGCCACAAGTCGCGCTTTATATCTCTCTATATTACCTTGAGAGTCAAGTTTTGTTTTGTAGACCCATTTACAGTCTACTGTTTTGGCTCCTTTAGAAATTATTTCCAAGTCCCAAACTTTATTGGCATTCATAGATTTCATTTCATCTTCCATGGCTTCAAACCACTTTGATGAATGATCACTTCTCATGGCTTCTTCAAATGAGGTGGGATCATCCTCTATTTGAAATTTCTCAGTGTTGTATACTTCATATTCAGCGGGAATAGCTGATTTTCTAACTCTTTGAGACCTTCTATAGGCCTCCACATCTGGCACATCTTCTGTTTGAGGCTGTTGTTGCTCCCCCTCATGTGTGACAATAGGTTCTATAGGATCCTAAAGAAAAGGTTCCTTATCGTCATTCATTGCTGCCACAGGTGGAATAACAATAGGTGCTGACATCACAGTATCTTGCACTGTCGGTGCAGCGACAGCAGGTAGTGAGAAAAATGGCTCATGAATCATCGGAGTGGGCGCATACACCCGTTTCTCTTCAAGGTTAATTTCTCGAGCTACCATGCTCTCCCTCATCATTTCATCCTCTAGAAAGACAGCGTGTCTCGTTTTCACAAACTTTGTATGTCTCTCTAGACAGTAGAAACGAAAACCTTTTGACTTTTCTAGGTAGCCAATGAAATAGCAACTTACTGTTTTGGGATCTAGCTTCCTAATGTTTGGGTTAAATACTTTAGCCTCAGCAGGACTCCCCCACACACGTAAGTGGTTTAGTGAGGGTACTCTTCCTGTCCACAACTCATACGGTGTTTTGGGCACCGACTTACTTGGTACTCTATTGAGAATATGAATGGTGGTTTTTAACGCTTCCATCCACAGGCTCAACGGTAAGGTAGAGTAACTTATCATACTGCGCACCATATCCATCAGGGTACGATTGTGTCTTTCAGCTATTCCATTCTGCTGAAGTTCGCCCGGTGTAGAATACTGTGCTACTATGTCATTTTCCTGTAAGAACCTTGCAAAAGGTCTAGGAACTTGGCCATATGGGGTATGTCGACCGTAGTACCTCCCACGGTCGGACCTGACTATCTTAATCTTTAAATTATGTTGGTTTTCAACTTTTGTCTTAAATATCTTGAATTTATCCAATGTTTCTATTCTTTCTTTGATTGGATAAATGTAGCCATAACGGGAGTAATCATCTATGAATGTTATGAACGAATCATAACCATCCACATTTTTTATAGGAAACAGACCACAGATGTCTGTGTGAATAATCTGTAAAATTTCTACGCTTCATTTAACATTTTTCTTAATTTTCTTTACATACTTTCCTTTTATGCATTCTCTGTATTGTTTTAAATCTGATAACTCTATTGAAGGAAGAATATCATTCTTAACTAGTCTTTCTATTCTCTCCCTCGAAATATGGCCTAAACAACAGTGCCATAATTTCGATGACGCATCGTGAGCTCTCTTTCGTTTTCTGTTTACATCTGCAGACGATGATACATTCTCATTGTCGCACGCAACGTTTCCATCATCGCATACAATATTCACATCATCACGTAGTGATAACAAATAGTATGTGCTCTCTTATGTCACCATTTTCGGAGTACCTCTCTGTCACCAGCTGCTTTATCAGCTGGGTAGCATGTCTTTGAAGAGCCAGTGAACTGACTCTTTATTCTATCGATGTACTCGATGACCGTGTCACACTCTAGGATTGAGCCTACAATTGCAGGCTCAATCGTGTTCTTTATCACAGCCAAACATTTCTTGTTGGCAGCGACCCACTTTCTATGCTCAAGGTCATATGACATCTTTTGAGATTCAAAATCCCTCTCTTTAGTTGTCCAAGCGGCATCAGTCGCGTTTCTCTCCCTCATTGGTACCACAGGCTCAGTGGGACACGATGAGGTGACTACCCAGTCCACCTCAGCCAAGATGAAGGCCAGGTCAATCTTTCCTTTCACTCCGTGTAGTTGTCACCTTTGAGAGTGGGGATCTCTTTGATACAACCCATCAAGTTGTATCCGCCTAGCAACACAATTCATATAGAGTGAACAAAAATAATAACAACAATTGCATGCCTTGATTCCAACGTTGATCAAAATTAAAACATACAACTGTTCTTATACACTAATTCTACATCACCGTTTGGCAGAAATAGAATTAATGTATAAAATCATTAAAATTACGATATTATTATTAACAACGTTGGTCAGAAAATAACAACATCATAATCAAGTCAAAATCTCTTTTTCTTCAATTAAATATCACGTTGGTTCAAAATAACTGGAGAATAAACTATTTCTTTAGCAGCGGAAAAACTAATTCAATTTAATGAATTTTGCCCACAGGAAAAATCTCTTTTCTATTTTCTTTGAGCCATTTATCCATTTTCCAGAAAATAAAACTTTTACTGGAAAAGGAAAAGAAAAAAAAAAAAAAACTGACTCATTTCTTTCACTGTCTTTGGCCCAACCCGCAAAGCGGCCCACGGCCGACACGACGCTTCTCCCTCAAGCTCCCCCCAGCGCCCGAAGCCGCAACTCAGGCTCTAGTAGAAATCGCCCAATACCATGCGCGTCGCTTGGGCAATGAAAGCCGCCCGACCGTTCACAAAGACTCGATCAAGATCGACGGCTCAGCTTCTTTCTCGCGCGAACAAAACCGCCGCCGCGGCCGTCTCACCCGAAACCCTAGCTCACTCGCCCCTCCCTCTTCTTTCTCTATGCCCGCGCTCCTTCTCCCTCAACGCAGCAGCAGCGAGCAGCGACCAGAGCCGAAAGAGAGAGAGATGGCGCCGTTGTTCGTGACGGCGAGACCTCACTCCCCCGCGCGGCCGGCCCCCTTTAACCCTAGTCCATTTCTTCTCTTGCCTTCTCTCTCTTTCGCGCAGCAGCTCTGAGCTCAGCGCAATGAGCAACAGCGGCGACCGAGCGAGCATGGCGCCGTTGCCGGCTCCCTCGCCGGCGCGCGCGCTCCCACGCGGGTGAGCGCGCCGCCGTCGAGCGGACTAGCGGCGGCGCCCTTGGCCGGAGCTCGCGCAAGCCTGAGGAGCGGCGGCGGCTCGGCTTCTCCTCGCTCGCCAACGAGGCGGCGGCAGAGCTCCTTCCCGTGCGCCGGTGGGAGACAACCCACGCGACGGCGGTGGCGACGCGCGACAGAAGAGTCTGGTAGGTCCTCTCCTTCGTCCGATCTGTTTCTTGGGTGAGGGTTTTCTAGGGTTTGGATTTGATCCGATTTGAATCATCTCCTTCAATTTGTTCAATTTCTTCCCCTACGGGTTAGGGTTCGGTTGAACTCTCTGCATCTCGATTTCTTTCCCGATTAGGGTTAGGGTTTTCCTCACTGGATTCACTATTCATCTTCCCCAGCGAGTGCTTCGTGGGTTAGGGTTCGGCTTCGCGTGCCGAGACCCCTTTCTCTTCTCTTCTCAGATCCGAACGGGGTATGTTCTTTTCTTGCCGCGCGCCGGCGAAGACGGCGGTGCGGCACCTTTTCCGCGCGGTGAAGGTGGTGACCGGCAGTCAGTGACGCCCACCACCCTCCCGGTCTCTTTTCTATTTTCTTTTACTCGGTTAGGGTTAGGGTTTCAATCCGAAACGGATCGAACCCTTGTTCTTTCTTTGATTTTTTTCAATTCTCTACCCCATACTAGATCTACACATTGTTAACCTGGCTCTGGTACCATTGTTAGGGAACAGTGCCTCTAAAACATAGATCAGGGGTAAACCTCTTACTTAGATGGAGAAACTCATTCCTCTATTTCGCCCTGGCGCAGTTGCGCCGCAGCCGCATGGACGCCGGTGTCGTGGGAGCTCGACGCGGTGGAGTCTAGCGTAGTGGTGGCGATGCAGAGGCGACGTTGACGCGAGGTGCCGCTGTCCGGTGGTGACGGCGAAGTCAGTGGGTCTTCCGTCGCTGGGAGCACCCTCTTTAGATCGGATTAGGTTTAGCTGATGGTGGGTCACGGCGGCTCCGGTCAACCTCGTAGTTAGAGTCCTAATCCCCACCTTTCTTTATAGTGCTGTGCGACAGGGGCCCACCAACCATATTAGGGTTGGGCGCCCCCGATCAGGGCGCAGATCCAAGAGCTCAATAGGCCGGCCTATTGGTGGAGATCAACTAACATTCGGAAACATCCCTCCCTCACTGGATTAGAAGGTCGTCAGCTTGGATTACTTTACTGTGTTTATCTTGACTCCTAATTGATGTGGCAACAGACATTTATTTATGTGCTATAAAAGATTGTCACCTCTCACGTGTATTCTTTTTTTATATAAAAATTAGACATTATGCTATGATCTGTCAGATCTCTTCAGCACAGCATGTTTCCCATCAGGGAGTACAGTCACATGCTTTCCTACAAAACAATGAAGAAACTGAGGAGGAACAATATAAACACCTAAAATGGATCAATTCTTTCTTTGAGGGTTACAGTCCTACTCTGATGTAACTTTTACTTGTTCTGGTGTCATATAAGGTTCTCCAACCGTTCTACTTCGATGTATAGCACCTGTTTTAGTGACTATTATGACTTAGGCATTACGCTGTTTTTTTTAACCGAAATCAGCGGGGGAGGCCCCAAACTATTTCCCCCCCCATTTTATAAGATTACGCTGTTTTTCACTGTTATATTGGGAAAACTTAGTGTCTCCTCAATTTGCAATCATTCATTTTCAGGAATTTTATGCAGTTAGTTTTCTCTGGGGATCCCTCTGGGAGACTCTTGAAATATAACCCACAGACAAAGGAAACGACAGTACTGCATCGCAACCTCCAATTTCCCAATGGTGTGTCCATGAGCAAGGATGGCTCATTCTTCGTTTTCTGTGAAGGATCGCGCGGCAGGTGTGTATTCTCTTTCTTACATGTGGTTCAAGCTTTCTTATTTCAGCTTTATCTCTATATTTGTGTTCTTCTGAGACAGGTTGAGCAGATACTGGTTGAAAGGCGAGAAGGCAGGCACTGTGGATCTATTCGCTATCTTGCCTGGATTCCCAGACAATGTGAGAACGAATGAGAAGGGCGAGTTCTGGGTGGCGATCCACTGCCGCCGAAGCCTGTACGCCCGGCTCATGAGCCGCCATGTCAAGATGAGGAAGTTTTTCCTCAGCCTCCCGATCCCCGCCAAGTACCACTACCTGATGCAGATCGGCGGCAAGCTCCACGCGGTGATCATCAAGTACAGCCCCGAGGGCCAGGTGCTCGACATCCTGGAGGACACCAAGGGAGAGGTGGTGAGAGCCGTCAGCGAAGTGGAGGAGAAGGACGGGAAGCTCTGGATAGGGTCCGTCCTGATGCCGTTCATCGCTGTCTTTGACCTGGCGAAGGCGTCTTAGCCGCCTCAGTTTGATTGGAAACATTGTTGAATATGGAGTCGATGGTTACCGCTGCACGCTTCTCTGAGAGGATTAGTGATCCCAATAATTTGGTCCTGGAGCAACCTGGAGCTGTATAATGCTCCCAGTAGATTGTGACTACAACTATGTACGAACAGCTCGTGCTTCTGAATCTAGAATCCGTTCAGACTTTTATTTGGCAAACAAACAAGTTTTTACAGAGCGAGAATAATGTAATTCCACGTTGTAACGGTTCGCTGAAAATAGTTCGAGGAGGTTCTATCCAGTGGTATTTACAATCAAACCGTTCGCTTGTGGGTTTTAGTTAGGACTTATCAGCCAGCCAATGGTGTTTTTCTCTCACAATAAATCAGCACCAGCCGAACTTATCAGCCCAGAAACCAATTAGCGAACATGTCAAATATATACTGGGCCGGTTTGAATACGGGTTAATAATTGCTAGCTATCTAAAAATTAGCTAAAATTTGCTTTCTTGTATTCATTCAAATGGGAGGGCTAATAGGTGGATTATATTTTTAGCCAAATCTATAACTAGTTATTAGTCAATTAGCTAGCCAATCATAACTAATTCGACTAATATTTAACCCCAACTAATAAGTAGTCGTCTGTATCAAACAGATATCAGCCTGTTCGCTTGCTCGTATACGATCGTGGATTATAAGCTTAAACAGTATTTTTCTCTCACACCAAACCAGCCAGCAGTAAATAATTCACGATCGTTTACGGCCTGCCGAACATGCTGTATATCGAGATACAACAGTGTTAAAAGCAGTTGTACTTTTGCCGAATCTAAACAATTATGAGATTAATAAAAGGAACAGAAAAAGAAATCTACACAATAGTGTTACAATGTTTAAAGGAGCCCACGGAGCCCACGTTCGTTAAGTGGATCTAGATTATGCAAGATTAATAAAAGAAGAATATGTACAATTGAAGTTTATGATAATCTATCAGCTTAGATTAAATCAAAGAATATGTTCTAATACAATTAATAAAAATTAATTTAGAATAATAAAATAATAAAAATAGAGTTGATTTTTTCTGAGTTCGAAAACAAAAATACCTAAGCAAAAATTTGAATACTAAGAGACTATGAAGAATTAATAGATTGATGTCCACGTGAATTTGAAACAAAAAGTACCAAAATAAATAGTCAATATACATTGTAGAAAATATATAATCCTTCCATACCGGCAATTCAAGTTGTTTGACAAGGTTTGGGTCAAATATTGGGAATATAAATCATGAATAATTTTTAAGTCGTTGAGTTTGAAAATATGAAAACCATATGAATAAATTTGTCTTGAAAAATACCTTCATAAAAATATACATATATCACATTCCAATAAATAATTTTATAAAAAATAAGAAGTCAAAGTTATGTTTTGTAGGTCGTGTCGCTGCCCAAAACGACTTGAAGTACCGGTATGGAGTGAGTAAGTACCATTGAAAATTTAAAAAGTAATAATTTGGTTTCTATATGTTGGCGAAAATGCAAAAGTAAAATATAAATGTACTGCTATAAGGGTCTGTTTGATTAGCTAGGCTAGTTATTACCTGAAGCTAAAAATTAGTCTAAATTAGCTTAGTTGACTAGTTAGTTAGCAAGCAACTAGTTGGAGGTTTGCTACGCATACATCTCCGTGCGATTAGATCGATTTTTTCAAAGTGCGGAAAGATTGAGAGTTGAGATAGGGAGTTGTGGGAGAGCAGATATTTTTTAATTCTACTAAGAAAATCTAGATGCTCCGGAAACTCTTGGAGATGCTCTAATCAAACAAATAAAAAACAAATTTTGTTTTTAAATCAAAATTATAATTATTACAAAAGGATAGTTCCACAACTGTTAATTAGGCTCTATTTAGATTCATTAGCTATTTATAGTTAGTTAATAGTTGAACCTAGTATTAGCTAGCTAATTATTAACTGTTATTAGTTGGTTTAGTTCAACTAGTGAAATATCCAACTAAAAACTATTTCACTAATTGAACTAAACCAACTAATAACAGTTAATTATTAGCTAACAATAGTTAATAATTAGCTAGACTATTAGCTAAATCTGTGTAGATACAAATAAAAATAGTTGTTAGTTAGGTATTAGCTAATAATTAGCTAGACTATTAACTAAATATGTTTAGATCCAAATGAGCTAATTATGAAATAGTTGTTAGTTACATTGGGTATTAGCTAATAATTAGCTACTTTCTCTGTCCTAACTAACTGTCATTCTCACTTTTCGAAAAATAACTTTGACTAATTTTATACAAAAAATATTAATAACTCTTATGGTATATAATTACTATCATTAGATAGATGGTTGAATCTATTTTCATAATAAATTTGTTTGGATATACACATGTTGCATGTATTTTCTACAAATCAATCAAACATACGGCACGGAAAAAAAACGATGGTTATTTAGTGACAGAGGGAATAGACTATCAGCTAAAATCTGTTTAGATCCAAATGAGCTAGCAGGGTAACAATTAGCTGTGCGATCAAACCGAGCATTATTCTACGAGAGAGGAGGGGATTGGTAGGATCTTCCGGATCGAATGAACGAGTCCGGCCGGCGATGGACGCCACGAGAAATATGCAAAGTCCAAACGGGGCGGTCCGCTACAGGCTACACGATGAAGATAATGACGCAGAGCTCGTACACATAACAAAAGGCACGCAGATGGCCGAAAAAGCACTGCATCATGAACAGTGATCTGTTTGTTCATTTGTTGTCGATCGGCCTCTCAATCAATAATACTAATAGATCGTTTGGACACAAGTTTGAAGTTTCAGCATTTTCTGCTCCCACAGGGACAAAAAAAAAAAATGAAAATCTCAATCACTGATCCCTTTCGCTTCTCCATCCCAAGCGGCCTGCAGCTGCCGGCGTGGTCCATGCTCAAGACAAGCCGAACAGCTGAACCGTGGCTAGCAGTAGTGCAATACAATAATTCAATCCACACGGGCCAGTTTCGCACGTGTCGATTTAAACATGTTTGATTGGCTGATTCGTATATGTGAAAGAGAAAAGTACTGTTAAAATAAATAATGTCTATGAGAGGGGACTGCCTAGCCCAGCCAGCCAGCCAGCCAGCCAGTCCGCCCGCCCCAGCCGAACACTGATGCTGATGCCGAAGGCTTCTGCTCCTGTCGCCATGCACGCTGCACTGATTGGCAGTATGGCACAACGGCTGGTTGATTGCGGGTGCTGGTTTAGGCTGGTTAATGCTGATTTTTTTAGAGAAAAACGCTGTTAACTGGCTGGTTTGACCGGATGAAACCAACAACATGAAACATCACCGAGAATGGCGGGAACTCCAAGAACTCATGCGCTGATTACGCAAGAACACTGCAAGAATGAGGAAGAACACGCTGCTATTGGTAGCGCATGGAGGAGGAGCTGGACCTGGAGGAGACGCTGCGCCAGAAGCCGGCGCCGTAGAAGTGGGAGCTCATGATCTCGCGCTCCAGCTCCGACGCCGCTTCCGCCGACTCTGCCTCGCCGCGCGCCTCCTCCTCCTCGATATCTAGCGTCGACGAGGCCGCGCCGATCATCGCCTTGCCGCTGCTTCCCGACGGCGACGCGGGCGCCGCCGCCGCCGTGGAGGCCGGCTTCTTCCTGTCGGCTCCGGCTCCGGCTCCGGCTCCGGCACCTCCCCGGCCGCGGTGGCGGTGGCGCCTCCTCCTCACCCGCCGCATGACGCCCGCGGGGAGCCGGACGGTGACGAGCAGCAGGACGTCGAGCAGCGCCAGCGGGCAGCAGCAGCACACCGCCGCGCAGTTCGCCGCCGCCTGCCCCGCCCCCTCCCCGCACCCCGGCTGGGGCTCATGCTCGTCCTCGCCGTACCGGTACTCGCGCATGCGCCCCGCTCCGCTCCCGATCGCGAACCTGCCGCCGATGATTCTTTCTTGGAGTCCTTGTCCTTGGTGCGCCCCGGACAGGTGCCACCGGCTGGGCTGCGTTCGTTAACACCCAGCCCAGCCAAGAATCTTAAAAAAAAGATACGCTGCTCTGTGCTCTCGGATGGAGTGATATTAGAGATGGAGGCGTTTATGGTTGGTGGTGGTGGGGGAGAGCGAGAGACAGAGAGAGGGAGAGGACGAGGACGAGGACGAGGGGATAGAGGCGGCGATGGCGTGCGTGGCATCGTCTTCCTTTTGTTGCTCGCGGCTGCGGCTGCGGCTGCTCCGCGCCTCCCCGCAGGAAGGAGAGGAAAAAATCAATCCCCAATTTTCTTCCACCCGTGACGTATTTATCGCTCCCGTTCGCCGGATGGTGACCGCAACTCTGCAAACACACGAAAGATTTTGCACAATTTTGTCGAGACACGGCGGGTTTTGTGACGTTGGAACGCGGGACGCGATGGGGACACCCGAGGGCGCCGTCGCGTGCCCACCGCGGACGGGTGGAGTCCGAGTCTGCTGCGTGCTGGCTCCGGCAAAGCACGAGCGCTCGTGCGCGGCCTGGACGCCTGGTGATTCTGAATCTCTGATGATGGACGAATCTGACGGCCGAACGCTTTGCCGCTAAGCATTCGCGGTTTTTCTCCGTGACAGGATTTTGGTGTGGATGGATGATGATGTGCTGGTTTGGATGGTGGTATCCGTCATGTTGCGTGATTGATTTACTGATTTTCATTGATTGGGTCAAACGGTGGTGGTTGTGGTCTACAGGGTACAGTAGAGCTGGGGGCTACAGCCTACAGGGTTGCGCCACTTGGTTGTCGCGCTTAAAACAATGGTAAAATGCCAGCTGGCCATTGCTCTTTGTTCTTCTTCAGCTGTTCATCAAATGACTAAATTTCGAGGAACGAAAGAAAGGACAAGAAGCAACGGGGCCAAGAGCTGAAGAAGCTTCCAGAGGAGTTCATACTACACAAACAGAAAATCAATCAATCACATAAAAAAACAAAGAAACCGACCACCAAGACAAAGGCGACAGAATCCAGGGTCGCTACAAACCTGGCACACTGTTCATACTCTTCACGTTGTCGCTATTCTTCGCCCAGCAGGCCAGCAGGTATAAGGTCAAGATCAGGACGAAATTTTCTACAAGAAACTGGAGTGCAGCGTTTTTGCACTAGTGTAAAAGCATCCACCCTGGCTCAGATTAATAAGTTATGATACAAGTCCATCCACTGGTTGCTATCAGTTTAGAGAGTTACAGAAGCCAAAGGTCAAGCCTAAGTCGAATTTGTTTCTGTCCTCCATCTTGAAGTGTACACCAGAGAAGAAATCGGATCGGAAACAATAGCCTACAGGACCTGTTGATGACCAGAAGATAGGTGATCTACCGAAGAAAAAAATCAGCAGATTTGGCTTCAGATAGTTTCCATCTGATGAAGCAAATTACATGTAGCAGCATCCCATCTCTGATGTCTTGCTACGAAGGATCTGAACAGATGAAACCAAGACAGACTAGCCTGTCAATCATCGCATCTTTAAATAAAGGAACCTGAAACTAGCTGCGCAGATTCACAGATTAGCTTGATTGTCGAGAAGCAAAAGCTGCTTAGCTTCATCGACATGAATCCGGACAACCTCAAGATCTGTTGCCACCTTTTCACCAACGGACAGCATGGGTTCATCCAGACTGCAAGCAGTTAAGCATCTTCTGTCTTGCAGAAGCTCACCCAGCTCCCGCATCGCCTTATTTAGCTTTGACTGAAGTTCGTCCAACTCCCTGGCTTGATACTGCAAGGACTCATTACACACATTGATCTCTTCCTCTTTCAAGTTGACTTGGAAAACACAGTCCTGGTACTCAACCAGAAAGGCCTCCATGTCCTTTGCCCTACCCTCCCAAATCTCTGTCAACGTGTTGTCACAGACAAACTTCTCAATGTCAGCTTCCAGTATGGAGAGGCAGGAATCCTCTATTTCTGCTTCAAGGACTGCAATCTCACAATCAATATAATCAAATTTATTCATGTTTTTTATTTCCTTTTGTACCATGGAGAGCTGTTCGCGGGCATTCTGTAGTTCACACAAAAGCTTCATCCGATCCTCCTCGAATTTCAGCAGGTCGGTTGCCTTGCCATATTTCTTGGGTTTATGCATTGGTGCAGTGGAAATATCCAGGTTATCAATAGCAAACAGGACCTTTTCTTCCTCCTTTCTTTGAGCTTCATAAGAGCGAAGTTTCACTTTAAGGCCATCAATTTTGCTTCTCAACTCAGTTTCAGATTCACGTGCTCTTGTTCTTGCGGCAGATAGTTCGATTTTGCGAGTTTGGAGATGATTCAACTGTTCTTTCTTCTGATTCATTGATTCAAGGCTGGCATCGAACTTGGACTCTGCAAGACTTTTGGTCTTCAAAACCAAGTTCCAACATGATGCTGCAGGCAAGAAATACTTGTCTTCAAAAGCATTTTTCTTCTCCTGTGATTCTGACAGCACAGACTTCAGGACAGTGATGTCTTCCTGACCATGCTGTGCGCCTAGACGCTGAAGCTCAATTCTTGCAGAAAGTTCTTCGGCCTTACCACTAGCCATTTCGAGTACCTTAAAATATTTAACTGCATCCTGAGCAGACACAACCTTATCTTGGACAAGCTCCAGCTTACTCCGAACAATCTGCAGCACTTCTTTCAAAGCTAAAATTGTGGAGTCATGAACATTTTTCACTTCAGGATTCTCAGCTGCTTCACTCATTTCAACATCTTTCTCGTCCAATTGAATCTCCTTTACAGCTTCAGAGTCGCTTTGCTCTAAAATCTTCCGTTTGAATTCATCTCTTTCCTGCATAGCTTTCTCATACAAACCCATAAGTCTATCATTTTCCTCATGCATCTCCTCCAGCTGAAGACGCAATTCAACAGATGTAATTCTTGATAAATTGTCCTCCTTGGTGCATTGTTCATCTACTATCTTAGACTCCTCTGCCACATTGGATGAGTTATGTGCATGCAAATCTGATGTGGCTGCTGGTTGGGCATTCAGCAGATCTTCGTTCACAGGGTTTCGATCTTGATTTGCTTCAACATTGACAACAGCGTTTTCATAGAGTTCAACCAATCTCTTGTGATCCTCAAACAAAACCTTAAGCTGCATCCTCAATTCTTCATTCTCTTTGGCCAAACCAATCGCAGTTTCATGAGCTTCTGCTTCCCGTTGACTTGCAGAAGCTATTGCATCAACCAAAGTCTTAAGTTCCATCTGAGCATCAGACAAGTTATGTAAATCTGCCTCTCCTTGCTCCTGGAGCTGGGCAGCCTTGAACTCTTTATCTGTGTTATCGTTTTTCTTTGTAAGCTCCAATTCTGTGGTCAACTCATTGACATGCCTGCACATTGTTTGATATATCAGGCAATGGCATCAGAACAGTAGCTGATAGCATGGAAACTGAAAGTTCCGTACAAGCATAAGCATGATTATAATGCCTAGAGAAACTGGGAACAAACATTGGGTGGAATTCATAGGGAACAATCAACAATAATGTCAATGTGGAGAAGTGAAACCAAATGATTTAATAAATGATCTACTCATTGGGATTTTTCAAGCATTATGAACGCTCGTTCACGTTACCACACAAGCTTTGAAGCAAAAGAGAAATGCTATAGCCGGTAATGTGGCATATGAGCGGATCGAAGGCAGCATAGCAGAAAGGAGACGAAACTTGAAAATAACAGCCACATGTGTTTCAGAATTTCAATTAACCTGTTTTGTGTAACATACAAGGACTAAATACACTACTCCCTCCAATAAATGTAGAACATTTTAGGATTTTAGAGGGTCAAACACTTATAGTCCTTCAATATATGAAAAGTTACATTGATTGACAACAAGGTTGATGTTACTATATTCATCATGAAAAATACTTTCATAATATATAGCTTTCTCTATCTATTTAGAATTGTATACTTCTCAAAATTACAAGTCAAAGTGTCATATTGGAAACCATGTCCATGTCCTAAACAACTTACCATTTGGAGTCACAGGCAGTATTATTAGCCATCTCTAAAAGCATAAATATCTCAATAGACTACGGAAGAAGGAAACATATTGATTAATAGTAATAAACCTAGTAAGAGCATGCCAAGGTAGGACAAAATGTATACATTTCAAGATTCTCTTTTGCTTCAAGGCAGAAAGTCAATTTTTTACGCAACGACTCAATTTCTCTCTGATTTTGAATAGCCTGCAGTACAAAATCATAAAGTAGTTACAGCCACAAATGAATAAACATAGTAACATACTTATATAAACAAAGGTACAATAAGAGTTGTATATGTCGCAGTAGTATGCTTACACCAACCTGCAAACGAAGAAACTCATTTTCCTCATCACCAGCTGACTCCCCGAATAATGAGAGGCCCTACATAAGTTTTTATAAATATAAGTCAAGTTAAGCATGGATAATTCCATGAAGTAAATATAACCATTTTTTTTTTGCATATAGTTAGAGATTGGCATCCTTAATTCAGATTTTTTTTTTCATATAGTTATAAGCAAACCTTGTTGATAGGTTCCTTCTCATGCATAAGCTTCCAGTCAAGAGCCTCAAGTAGCTGCAACAACAACAACAACATAGCCTTTCAGTCCCAAGCAAGTTGGGGTAGGCTGCATAGCCTTTCAGCCTCAAGCAGCTGCGAATCAAATTATTAAGTAAGCTCACTACTTCAATGAAGTACCATATTCACATCATTAGAGTCCACCCCAAACAGGATCCAGATGAGTTCGCAATGCAATACCTTATCTTGTAAAACAATGATTTGCTCATGCATCATTTCTCGTTCACCTTCATCAACAAATGACTGCAACCTGATTTTTGCAAGTAACAATAAAAGGCCATTAAAATTCCAACTAAACTCCGAGCAGATAAACTAAAGCACAGACCATAAAGTTTATTTCAGACAATAAAATATTCAAGAATCAGTTACTCCTTGCCATCAGTCACATACAAAAAAATGAGTTGTATCACATAGCAAAATATTCAACAAAGTAGTAGTGACTGGTAAGGTTAACAGAACATTAAAAATAACTGGATATCTGGAAACAGCTATTACAAACAATAATCTATTCAAGAATCAGTTATTCTTTACCAACAATCACACAAGAAAAAAATGAGTCCACAACCATTTAAAGAGCACCATAGTATAGACAGTAATGCTAACCTTCGTAGCTCTTCCTTTAATTGTAGATTCTCCATTGCAAATTTTGTAATTTCTGGATTACGATCTAATTGACCCCGCAGGACCTCTAATTCCTTTACAAGGTTTTCCTTCTCTTGCAAAAGATGTGCTTCAGCAGATAATTTCCCTGAAGCAACCTGCTCCAGTCTTTTGATCCGTTCTTCACGAAACTTAAGCCTCATCTTGAAACTTCTTACCTCTTCTGTCTTTTGAGCTGCCTGTGTAGGAACAGAATATTAAAATCAGCAAACACATGACTATCCGTGTATATTTTTGCTTTAAGTGCTTTGAAGGTAGAGATGCAAAATCATGAAGAACTACAGACCAGCTGTTCAGCAATCTGCTTTGCATCTATCATTGCCTTCAATTGTGCTTCCTTCTCTTGTTCCCTCCTAAAAGCAGCGACAAGGGCAGCATCGTAATTGTTCCTCTGAACACAAGGTAACAACAAAATAGTGTAAGTAGCCTGCAAGCACATCAAGTTCTACAAGCAAGAACAGCTATGGATACCTGTGTAGCCCTTTTATCAAAAGTAAGTGGAGTGAACATGCCATGACCTTGATCCCATTTGAATGTGCTAGGGGACTCACAGACAAACCCATGGGAGGCTATGCCTTCTGTTTTATCAGAACCTAATTGTCCTTGCAAACGGCTGATTACTTTCTGCAAAAGTAGATAAGTTTTAAGATGTATGATAAACTACACATTACAAATGTTTATCCAATAAGAATATTTGGGCAATTGCCTCCAATATACAGTAAATATCTGGTAAAGTATAAACTCATATATACCTTAAGGTTCTGGATCTGTAAGCGCATGCTAAGAACATCACCAGAAGCATCCTCATTAATTATAGCCTACAAAAAGTAATAGTCAGCTGATGCTTGCACAAAATAAAGGTGGTATGCTAATCAATGTGCGCAGGTTGCTTACGTTATTCCTTATGTATTTAGCTCGTTGCGCGAATTTCAATGTGCTTAATGTCTCAGCAGCACAACTGGATAGAAAATGAGAAACATCAAATGTGTAACTTTCAAAATGGAATGGAAGCTTCAAATAAAAGGGCAGTTGAATAGAACGATCATCATTAGGAGTCTACCAGCTGGATGGGCTTATGTTTGCAATTATGGTCGTTTTTGAATTTCCTCCAAGGGAATCCTGGAAAGCAGAGAAAAGGCATAACCTAATCTTTTATCAGCAAAGGAAATGCAAACTCACATCTAAAAACTTTGTAATCATATAATAGCTCCCTAGATGCCAACTTACAACATGAGCAACTTTACTGCATCAGTTGTCGATATTACCTGGAGGAGGAATGTTAATTTTGAATCTCTGTACGGAACATGCTGTGACTTTTTGTTTGACACAGCAATTAGGTTCGTAATGACAAGTCTGCAAGAATGCCATGGACCAAAATAGTTACAAAATATGTAATGCTGTGACTTGAATCTGACTCAGCGTGCTAAGTTTATAACAAATTTCAAAAGATTTTCCACAGTTTGTGGTATTATTAGAAGATAATCAACTAACCCCAAAGTTGAGAGTGATTTGTTGATGTTGGTAGCTTCCTTCAATCGCTCCCCTTCAGCACCTGAGCTCTTTTGCCTGCAAGGCAGAAGTCATGCATGCTAAATAGGAGAGTGAAAGACATTGAAAAGTGGTCACACTGAAAATCTATTATAGTCGTATCAGATGATTATATGTGATGTTACTTATGCAAGTTACCTTTCTGAGCCCGCAAGGTCAACAAGGTTGAGTCGAGAAAAGCGGTGGTGATTGATACCTTGTGACTCCCACTGAATAATTAATTTCAGGAGAAAGTAAGGGCAATATGTATGTGTCATAACCAACAATAATAAGATTGCATATATGATGCCACTATGACACCTTGAAACTAGAGACCCACAATGAGAACTTATTACAAACCAGTAACAGCTCTGGAGAATATTTGTCTCATGTACCTTACTTTCTATAAGGCAGGTGAAAACACTATGAGAACGGCTACTTGCTCGGTTCATATTGGTGGCTGCTACCTTTCTGTTTGCTGCTCCCTGAAAAGAAATGAAGAATGTATATTAAGGTTCGAGTCATGCACTGAACCTTAAATTTAGGAACCAGAAAATTGTGCAAACTTGATTCCATTTGAACAGGTAAAAGGGATTCAGGCTTCCAACAATCCCAACTACATAGACAAACCTCAGCATAAAAGGCAAAAAAAATATGAAATTATTCTATCAATCAACCTCAATAAGTTGTTGCAGCGCTTCTCGAGCATTGGAGATTTCATGCTCTGTCAAACTCTCAACATGGATACCCTTTCTGGCATCCTCCCTTATCTGAAAGAATCAAACTAATCAGCTTATGGTCTGAATAATGTATTTGTATATCTCGAAATATAGACATTTGCTAACAGCACATAAAAAAGATGCAACAAAGAAAAAGCAGGGATCATGAAATTAACACGAGGTATGGTAGTCTATGCATAACCTGAACATAAGGCATGCAAAACCAATAAAGATCTGTATAATTACAACAGAATCCGTGCATGAATTACCTGCAAGTTTACAGAATTTGGGTTGAGCAGATCCAGAATCTGCTCATTATAAATCTCCAAAAAAGAGCATTTACAAGTAAACCTGAGCTTTTCATCTCTCCTTAATTCCTTTTCCTGCAAACCGTAATAAATACATTTAGCTAAGAACAGTAACATGTCATGTCAGCCAAAATTAGCCATCCAGAAAGCAACAGATCTTCGAGCCTTGCCTTTTGGATCCTGGTAAAGAGATGCTCAAACACTCGAGGAGTTATGCCACAATTCACATTGTTCCTCCGTGTTCCGTTTTCTATGTCACCAAGCATTGTATGTGTTTTTCCGCTTCCAGTCTAGCAGAAGCAGATAATTTTGTAAGCATAAGCGTTGAAAGTGAAAGGTAAACACAGAATAATGCAATCTTAAAACTTGAGTATTTACAGCAGCAACCAGCAAGTGAAACCTGCAGTTTACCTGCCCGTAAGCAAACATGCAGCTGTTATAGCCAGCTATGCAGTTCTCCACCATGGGCACCCCAGCAACCTTGAACATGTCCTCCTGAACAACACGAAAGGAGAAGTTACCCATTTTGCACAATTAGCACGAAAATAAGTCAGCAGAAGGAAAGAGGGACGAATGCTAAACTGAGAATCGAGAGCAGCAAGAGCACCTGCGTGACATGTTCGTCAGCGACAAGATCGAAAGTGAACCGGGACTCGGGGTGTCCAATCCAGGTAAGGCTCTGGCTATTATCCTGCCTGACGCACCGCTTCTGCCCCTGCAGCGATACCTCACTGCCGCTCAGCGGTCGGATACGGATCACAACCTGCAGATTGGAACAGAAGCGACCATAAACATACACGTGCTCGATGAAATGCTCGCGGGCGCAGTCCCGCGCGAGGAGCGACCCGAGCGAGCTTAGACTATAGCACTCCCGCTAGGTGAGGAGAAACGATGGCTGGATGGAAGGGGAGAACGCAGCTCGCATCGAGGCGGATAAAGCTCTACCTGCACATTGTTGTCCTTCCAGAAGGAAGGATCCTCATGCAGCTCAAAGCGCGCGGGGGAGGGGGCGCAGCTGCCGCCGCCGAGCTTGTCGTCGACGCCGTCCAGATGCATCGCGGGTGTGCTGGAGGCTGGAGCCCGAGGTGGACTTCCGGCGCCTGGGCAGGGGAGGCGGCGGCGGCGGTGGATCGGAGATACGGCGGAAGGGGGAGGGGTCAGCGAGATGGGTTTTCGGTTTGAAATGGGGAGCGGAGGCGGCGAGACGTTGGCCAATTTCGAATTTGGGGTCGCGTCCGGCACAGCTTGTGACTTGTGAGTTGTGCGAAAGCAAGACAATAATTGCTGCGGCCTGTGGAGTGGGCCATATCCAGGTCAGTAGACTTTCAACCTGTTCGCTTGTTGGTTTCTGGGTTGATAAGCTTGGCTGGTGTTGGTTTTTTGTGAGAGAAAAATACTATTGGTTGATTGATAAGCTCTGAGCAAACAGGCTATTTGAACGAGGCATGGAGCATGAAAAAAAATTAAATACCAAAGTATACTCTCTACATTTTGAAATATGCTACCGGTGTTTAAAATAAAAACTTATTAACAATGCTACCAAACCATGGGCACACATTTTTTTAATGGTCGGCATCCAGCTTGATCGCTGGGCTGGCTGGGCTGGCCAGCCCTCTCACATGAGTACTCTTCACCTGAACCAGACAGCAATACTTCTCTCTCATATAAACGAACCAGCAACGATACGAACTAGCCAACCGAACAGGCTGATCGTTTATACACTAACAAAAGTTTGAAAATAAGGTTCAACGAGGTTATTTAAGGGAAAGAATGAATGGCTACGTCTCCAAAATGGTTTTTGCATGGAATTTTTAACGGTGTCGTTTAAGCTTTTAAGTGACTTAGGATATATTTGGACCCATTAGCAAAAAAAATTAGCAGTTAATTTTTTTTAAGCTGGGTAGGAATGTATTACAGTATGTTTGTTTGGTCGTATTTAACTTATAAGTCATGGCTTATCAGCCAACGAACAGTATTTTTCTCTCACACCAAACCAGCCAACAGTATTTTCAGCCATGGCTTATCAGCCAAACAAACTCAAACGAACCAGACGTTAGTCAGGAACTGACAAATCATCAGCGACTATTACATTGATGTGCGCCGGGAGAGAGCTCATGATTTGCTCAAACCCTTTCTCACATTCAAACCCTTTCTCACATTACATGAGCTACTCTATTACATTCTCTAGGGACAAAATCACATTTGAACCAATGAAAATTTACTTGTACCATAAACTTCATCTCTGAAATCAATCCGCCTGACGATGTAGCATCATAGTCATTTGAATAGAAAGCATGCTTGATCTGTAGAGCATCTGTTTCTAGGATCAAATTACTTATTCCAGTCTTGCAGTTGCAGCCTCCTCAAGCCCATGTAAACAGGCAATAATCTCAGCTTGGAAAGCCCCCAGTAGATGATTCACTTTGCCTTTGCCTAACGACACAACATCACCATCAGAATCCCTGATAACAAAGCCCCATGCCCCCATCGTTGATTCCTGCATATATGATGCATCACAATTCAGCTTCAAAATCCCCGGAGGTGGCTTCTTCCATCGCTCGCGCTGCCTTGGAGCATTGGGTTTGGGCATTGCAACATATTTAAGACCTCAGCTGCGTATACTTTGATTCCTCGTGTGAAAGCATCTAGGTCTCTAGTTGAGTTTTGGTGATTAATGACGATACGAGATTACTATGATTAACGTGTGTTTTGCAGAGACAGTTTGAGTTAGGTCATGGTAATGGAAATTGATTGGGCAATCATGGTTGTCATGCCCCTGTCGATGGAAATCGTTTCGGTTTTCAAAAGATGGACGACAAGGTAAAGGACGGACTAGTTCTAAGTGTCGTTTGGTGTTGGAGAGACATTTAGAGTAGTTTATGACTTTGTTTTTTCCTTTGGTCGTACTATTAAGGGGGTATGGACTAATACCTTAACCTAGGTAAGTCTAGTGGGTTAGATATGATACACACTTGTCAAATCTAGCACTAGGTAGCTCAAGAATAGCTCTAAGATGAATTGGAGTCAACTTCATTCACATAGGATTTCGAATTAAAAGTGAATGAAGGGTCAAATGATTGATCGGACGTTAGTCTGGTTGTGACCGGACACTGGAGGGTGAGTCCGATCAGTTCATTTGATCAACTGCAGTCGTCTGATACTGACCGGACGCTGAACAGTGAAGTGACCGGACTCTGGGTGTCAGCGTTCGGTCAACATCAGTAAGGTTTTAGAGAGGGTTTTTGATGACCGGACGCGTCCGGTGAGTGCTGACCGGACGTTGGTCATAATCCGATACCAGACCGGACGCTGAACAGTGAAGTGACCGGACTTTGGGAACCCGCGTCTGGTCACCATCAGTAAGGTTCCAGAGAGGGTTTTTGATGACCGGACGCGTCCGGTGGGTGCTGACCGGACGCGTCCAGTGGGTGCTGACCGCACGCTGGTCAGAGTCCGATCAGAGCTTAACAACTCTCTCTGACACAGTGACGGGTACAACTGACCAGAGCGTCCGGTCACCCTTATAACACCTCTGGTGTTTTGACCTATCATTAAAATTTTGACATGTCATCATATGCATTGCAAAGCATTCATAAAGTAGAAAATATTGAATACATTCACTAAATAAGCTTTATTTCATAATGTTGTTATTTTATGTGATGTGATTCAAAACCCTAAATAAAGATCATAACCACAAGAGTCAAAATTCATGTGATCATGTGAGACCATGTGTTAATTGACTCAAATAACCTTAATGGGCCATGATACTGGTCAAAAATCAAAGTTAAGTCAAAAGGTAAACAAATCAAATTTGAATTCAAATTTCAATTATAAAGGTCCTTTTTGCCCCTTTTGTCTATTTTAAAATCCATTTGGAATTTGGGGTTGTGACAAAAAGCAAAGTTGAAGCTTAGTTAATAAGGATCAACTTTGGTATTCAAAGTTTTCCAAGATTACATATAAAATTTGGAGTAATTTTGAAATGATTCAAATACTCAAATGCACCCCAAATTCAAATTTCAAAATGAGAGCAGAATTTGAAAATGTGCCTTGAAGCAAAGTTGTAGAGTTTTAAAAGTTGAGCAACTTTCATTTTTGGAGATTTTCAACTTCTTTAGAAAAATTGGGAGTAATTTGTAAAATGAACTCAGTGGCAAATCTGTAAATACTTCAAAAATCAAGTTGGCAACAGGGCGCCACCCACCGCCGGTGTCCTTTCTTCGGTCTTCCAGGCGCGTCTGCGACCGCCCTTGGCTTCACGCTGGCGCGGGGGAGCACGCTGCGTGTCGATTCCACGCGCTCCTGGCCGAGCTATAAGACCCAGACGTCATCGTTGGCTTTTCTTTCTTTCCCTCTGTTTTCCCGACGCCGCCGTCTCAACTCCGGCGAGCTTCTCTCATCTCCCCAGCACAAGATAGCCCCGAAAAAGCCATGTCCTAGTTTCGCCTGCTCCTTACGCATTCGACCGAGCTGTTGCTACCGCTTGATTTCGCCGAGAGCTCGCTGTCCACGTTCATCTTCCTCGCGGCCGGCGACCTCAACGGAAACTCCGATTCACCGTGGCGGCGATCGTCCGGTGAGTCATTTGTTCTTTCTTGTTGACTCTACGACTTCGTCTCGATGTTGTAGTACTTATTCCACTCTTGTTCGCTTCGTTTTGCCCATCGATAGCATTGTCAGTAACATCGTCGCCGACGAGGTCCGCTCCGCCGTGATCCCGGGCCACCGCGTCGAAACGATGTCACCATAGCTCCTCCGGTCTCGCTCGTTGCTTCAACACATTCGGGGTGAGCCACTGATGCTTCCTGAACTCTCTATTTCACCGTTACCGACCTTGTTTCGCCGGCGTAACGCTGCCGTGCCACCGCGTCCGCCATGGCCGGCGTCAGCCTTGTTCCATGTCGTAATCAACCTCCAAAGTACCACAGATCGATGCGTCTAGTTCTTGTGAACGTGTTGGTATTTTGGCCGTCATTGCTGGGCTCACCGGGCGAGAAGTTAAGCGCCGTCAGCGCCCGTCGATGCCACGGTCAATGACAGAGGATAGGGATGACATGTGGGGGCGGTACAATGTCGAGAGAGAGAGAATAGTGTACTTTGTTATTTTCTGATTTTGAATAGTGCTGAAACTTTGGGAATTTGTAGAAAAATAATCATAGCTCCAAAAATTCTGAAAATTTGTGTGTAGCTTCTGTACATGTTCTATTATGGTTTAAAAATTTGAAACTTGAAATTTGAATAAATTTTTATTGTTCAAAAATTCAGTCAATTAATTGATAAATGCAATTTCCATAATTTTTGTAGGTCATTGTATAGCTCCAAAAATTATGAAATTTATTTTGGTACACTAATTTGTTATGAGGAAGCTTACATAAAATTTTGAGGTCATTTGGAACAAGTTTATTTTTGGGCTTATTTCCAAATTAATTTAAAATTGAATAAAAGCAAACCCTAATTGTTAGGGTTAGGGTTTGATCTTGTTTGGGTCATGTTGTGTGACCAGTAGGGTTTCAAGATCAATTTGGTCAAGTCGCTTAGGTTATAAACCCTAGATGTTAATGTCAAGTAGTTTTGTTGACTTACAACTGTATCGCGAATGAAAGTTGTATTCAAGGTGTGATTACATTTCATGTACCATGAAAGCATCATGTTTACATTATCATCATATTGAAGCATAAGTTATTATTTCATGTGGAATCCGAGAGTGAAACGATTCTAGTTGAGCAAGTTGTGGAAGAATCCCCGGTTGTCACGGGATTCGATAATTGTGGTACTGATCCGGAACCAGAGATTGTCAACGAAGGCAAGCCTCGGTTTATGCATTAAACCATTACCTTGTTTACTTTGAAAAGTTTATCACCTATGTTACCTATTGCATTAAGTTGATTTATTCAAATGTTACCTACTTGATGCATTGCCTACCTTGTTGATTGTTTACCATCCTTGAAGACGATTTCATTTACAAAGGCGTAGAATTGCTTAGCATGCTTTATGGTAGGTTTTCAAAGTAAAAGTTTCGATACAATCAAAGATGGCATACTGGCCAAAGAAAGAAA